TTAATGCTTACTGTTAGAAAAAATAATTGCCTAACGCATTAATTTGAAATGTTTAACCTTCTTCATACAGATGTTTTATCACAGATTTCGAAACAAGTTTATTTCTGTCACCAAAACATCCATCATATTATATGAAGAATTACACCAATGATTAAATGTCATTGAGCTTTAATTAAGTTTTATGTACATGTAGGCACCCTCCCTAATATTTTGATAGATCGTCTGGTAACTCCCGTTGTACTATCAAACATGAAAAGAAAACATTTTTTATTTCATCTCGTTTTTTATTTTGCTGTTTATGTTAATGAAACTGAACTTAAATGTTTTCATGTCTTTTGACCATTGTTACTTGCCGTGCTTGTCTTTTATTACTGATGTTTTTTGCTTTGTTTTGGGGAAGGGGGTTGCTTTCCTACGTATTATCTTCCTTATGTTCAACATAGTTGGTATCGGCTTACAAATAAAATTGTTATTTTATTCTGTATAATGTACGTGCGTTGAAAATTTTCAGGTATACTGAAATTATAATGTTCAATTTTTGGAAGAGATATAAATAAAGACAAAAATTAATTATAAATTTTGAAATCATACAGTGGGTGTATATGAAAATGAAGGACCCCTTATACAATGTTTTAATTAAAGTTATCGTTTCAGTTAAGAGAAAGGAGAAATTTTCAGTTTGAAAAGAATGTGTTGTTCATTGACTAGTCATGATTAAAAATTATGTTAATTCAGACTTCACCAGACGTTGCTTCATGTGCTACTGGAGATCTGACCATGAATACAAATCAGTTTTAAAATCTGGAAATCTTGATACACTAAACATATAAAAATTTAATACTGTTTGTTTTAGCTTTCATACTGTAATAAAATGTATTTATCGCTACGGCAATATGGCTGCCCTTCTTTGATGTTCAGCAATTCTGTAAACATGGTGGCAATAAAAATCTCGTGAATTCACGTTTCTTGGGTGATCTGAATGAGAGTGGGTAGATTCTGATGACTTTTCAGACACAGTAATGCAATTGTTGTCACATTTTATTTTAGCATATTTAAAATGAAAACAACATAACTTTTTATATTGCCCATTTGATTTGCAACATTTCTTTACATTTTACAAAACAGATATACAGCATGGAGTTGATAAAATAACTCATAAAATTAATATTTAAACAAAAATGTTGTTGGTAATAACAAACAATAATTCATTGCATATTTAATTGTGCTCACTCTCTCTCTGTCTTCAAAATTAGCTCTATAGTGAAACTTAAACGCTCTGAACCAATCCAACAAAGAAAAGACTTTTTTTTACGTTGTCACTCATTTGCCTGCCTAATAAACACGTCTCTTTTACAATGTACTGGATTCCAAATGTAGTCTGGTTTTTGTCTATTAAATGGGTGTTTGACTTTTTTTGAAGGTTATACAAATGTTGTGCCGTTCTATTCCGGGTCTAATCCTCGTTCACGTAGTACATTACATCAAAATTGTAATCTTGATTTTCATAATTATACGAGGAGTTCCATCGCTATATTGCAATGTTAAGTAAACCTCGTGACACGCTCATGGTTTTATGCTTAACTCAAAGGAAACTAATTTCAATATTCCTGTGAACATGAATTTAAACACGATGGATAAAACGATAATTTGTTTTTATCCTTTTTATCTAACAATATATTTGATTTATAACATTGTATTTTTAAGATCTTTTAATATTTCATGTCTTACTTATTAGTGTGAAACGATGTGGCAGACACGGCCATATTCAATTTATTCAACGTTTTTATTATTCTAGCGTGAAATGTGACAATTTTTTTTTATCAAACATTGATTTTAAACGATCAATACACGCATTCATTATTTGCATTGAATTCTTCCCTAATTCTGTAATATGAGTGTATTTAGTAAAAATTATTTGACTTTAGGGATTCAGCATTTTTTTTAATAATTAATTACAAATCAAAATTAACATCAGTAACACACATTGTAAATATTGAAAAGAGTTCTTTTAAAATCTGTTAAACCTATTGCGATCAGCTATTGATGATCTCAGGTCTTAGATGGCTCCCTTTCTGCTAGTGGACATTTATAACCAAGGTCAACGCAAGCCCAGTTACATGACATAGCATAAATGCGGTAATTTTCTGAAAAGATTGCCAGATTACTGTCTACATACTGTTAAATATTTGGAAACAGTAAGGTTTTTCTACCCCAAGAAATAGATTAGACTTTTTAGAATTTTTTGGTTTTAATGCTCTTCAACTTTTTAAATGATTTGGTTTTCAAACTGTTTTAGTTGGATCGCATCTTTTGAGTCTTGTGCAACGAACTAAATTACGAGTCTGGTATCTTTAATGACTTTCAAAACTTTTTTCTAAACATAAAACATTTCGTGTGCACATATCACGTTGCTCGTCCACTTTGAAAGGTTTTCACAGAGATATTTCGGACCCTTAGAATATAAAGATTTAGTTACTTAACAGAACCTGATTATAGTCTGTGGTGCTTTTTGTGTGCATGTGTGCATGTGTGCATGTGTGCGTGTGCATGTGTGCATGTGGGAGATCCGGATGACGTTAAATCCAGAAAAGCATATTCAATTTTTTTCACTTAGGAATACTATTCAATCTATAAATAAGCTTTTCGTGACAAATAGAATTATGGTATGGACCAAATTGAGTCAATCAAGATCATCTCTTTTGGTAATGGTTTTCTTTTCTTTGTTTTTGACACTTTTGCTTGTTATTTTAGTTTTTATAGAGGAGGGATCTGTAACGAAGTGACCTACTATATACTCCTGTTATGTCGTGTTTGCTCTTCGAGTTTGTAAACGGTATTATTCTTCATTATCAAATGAATTCACATAAGGCTATAGAAAGTTTGGTTCTGTATGGTCCAGGTCTTTTAGATGAAATGGTGAAAAGATCAAGTGTACAATTGTAATAAAATAAACATTTTTATAAGACAATTAAAAGTATTCATAAGAGGGATCCAGAAATTTTTTCTGTTATTATTTTTATCGTCATAGTTATATACTTTATGATTTGAACCGTCGTCTTAGAGTCGGGCAAGAGTTAAATCATTGGCTCGGCGGGACTTAAGTTATTTAGCGAAAATTGCCTTTGGATTAACACTTTGCAAATTAGACGAAAACGAAATTATGAATTTGATATTTTTAAAACAAATTATGTCATCTTTAGAAAATCTTAAATTCACACAAATCGCAATGAGGAAAATTGAGGCGTTCAATTTCACTTGCATTACTAACCATGCAAACTTTCCTACAACTTCGCCAAGTCTCAGTCTTAATTTTTCTCATTTGACGAAAGCTATATAGTAATATTATTATTCCTAAAACAGTATATGTCATCTTTGGAAATACTTAAATTCCCACAACTTGTAATAAAGAGTGCAACTTTTCCGTCAACTTCGCCAAGTTTGAGTCTTAATTGTCCTCATTTTTAAATAATTTAGACCGAAAAAATGTTGATTTCTTTATAATTAATATCGCCATATCTCAAGCAGCTGTATGTAAAGTACATTTGTGATGTATAAGACACGACGGCAAAAAATATAGTTTTAAATTCTTCACCTTTTACTGTACAATCTTTATAACATCATTGTATTTACATGAACATATGTAACCCACAGGACCACACACACGTTTATTAATGACTCCGTAAGGATACTAGGACTGTTTCAATATTTATATAAAATGATGGAACGACGACGTCATGGCGACAGCCATTTGTCTAAATGTGACAGAAAATGGCTTTATACAAGGTTAAAATTAAGATGAAAATTATAAATTTGGGGCATCCGAAGCACTTTTCTGGATTCAACTTCGTATCTAACGCGTAAAAATAAAATATTTGGAATTGGGGCATCCGAAGCACTTTTCTGGATTCAACTTCGTATCTAACGCCCAAAACTAAAATATTTGGAATTTGGGCATCCGAAGTACTTTCCTGGATACAACTTCGTATATAACGCCCAAAACTAAAGAATTTGGAATCCAAGGATTTTTAAATACTGAATACCCGGTGCCAACATATATATTTGAATGTCGATGAACAAAATATGGTTATTTTATCCAATAAAGGTAGTAATGATATAACTGTCCATTCTTTGGAAATACTGTCCATCCCAAATATCAAATAACATCATTAGCTAGTCCGTCAGATATCAATGATAAAAACCTGCTTTAATCATTCAAACTTTCTGATTTGAAGGGAAAAATCAAACGACACAATTTCAAATCTTCCTGATATATTTTGATATGAGTAAGAGTCTTATCAAAAAGGATATTATGTCACAAAATGTCTGATACAAAAATGTCTGATACAAAAATGTCATCTGAGGATATGTTTTGGGTAAGCCTGTTGCTCATTTTCAAATTTATCCAAAAAAAATATTGTTTTGGGGCAATTATGTCAATATAATGCAAATATGACGTCTAATTGACAAAGCAAATATTCTTCAATAATTAAATTTTGGATGTAACACGTCTTCTTATTGACTGAAAGTGTTTTGTCTATCAGCTCATAGACATAATTTTGTCATGTAACCATGACGTCACCAACGTTTTTTGTTCAAAATTTACTCCTTAAAAACGGAATTTAGAATTGAATTATAAGGAATGACTGTAATATTTTTTCTGTCTATTCGAAATAACCTAAAAAATGTGGTGCACACTTTTAAATAAACCGCTACGCGGGTTATTCAGTGTGCACCACATTTTTTATGTTATTTTTTCATAGATAGAAAAAATATTACAGTCATTCCTTAAATAAAATAACAAGAGTATATCTTTCTATTTATTTACCATGAAAATTAACCTTATTTTGAAAGGATTGAATAATTTTACTATTCCTGGCGACAAATAATGGCTCTCTTCAAACCTCCTATTGCCGAATGTTTAGCAATTAATTCCTATTAGTAATTTGAACAGCAATAACATACTGTTCATTTAATTAACGTATATTCATCTTTAATTTCAGACATGCAACAGATTCATCTTCCATCAACCACACTTGCTCCCACCACAGTTACGTTACGGAAGCGACGGCGGCCATATTCAAAATTTCAAATAGCAGAACTTGAAAGGGAGTATAACAACTCCACATATATTTCAAAGTCTCGCAGATGGGAACTTTCACAGCTCATAAACTTGTCTGAACGACAAATCAAAATATGGTTTCAAAACAGGCGTATTAAAGCAAAGAAAGTTGTAAAAAGGGACGATACACCGACAAAATCTCAGGTACCGTGTATGCCTCAGTCTATAAATCAGTGATTTGAAGTATTGTATTGAGTATTGTCCAATGAAATGGTTGCTTACATCAGGACAAGCACTTAAAAGGATAAACCAATCATCTTCTTTCAGAGGAGGACATAGGCAGTAATGCAAGTGAAACTGGACGCCTCAAGTGGTGCATTATTATTGTGTAATATTAGTTGTCTCAATTATATGGTCCCATTATTGTTTTGGTGTTATATTTTTATGTTTTATATTTTTTCTGGTAATGAGATTACCATGACTATAATCAAATTTGAAAATCCTTTGTATTTATGTAAATAGACCGACCACATGCAGTTGCACATTTTTTCTTGTGTTATTATTTCAAACTCTGAAATGTATGGAATTGTTTATTTGATTCTTACTGAACTATTTACATAGGATTTTCTCATTTGGTAAATTTGCATAATTTGTCGCATTTGCAATATATAAAGGTGTCATTACGGGGATTTAGTAAAAGAGATTTTAGAGGAAGTAAACTGCACTTTTAGAAATTCTTCGAGATGCCAATGTCTTGCCAATATATAAACATATATACTTCCAACCGAATATAATTGTATAATTTACATGTATGTCCAAACGATATTCTTTTTCTATTTACCTCAATCGATGACTGACTGTTTCCGCGGACAATATGCTATAAGTATGATAATTTTATTTTAAAGATATATCTTCTTTTAGATAAAATGAAAATTACCTTCAAGATATTTTATGTTTATTTTCGACTGTGAAAAAGTCCTAAAAAATAATAGTGATGCTTGTTTAACAAGAAATTAATAACATATTCTAGAAAAATCGCCTTTAATTTGCCTAGACAACTGAAGCAAATTATTATTTAACAATTTTAAAACTAAACGTATGAAAACAGTTGATTAGTATTTTACAAAATTGTGTTGGTATAGCCTCGCAAACTAAACCGGAAGCACAGCCAGAAGTTATGCAATGAATTTCTTTTTATATCTAAGTATGCGACTACGCCGCGAAATAGCCTTTTACGCTAAAGCGGCGTCAATCATACAATCTTGACAAGCTGATGTAATTCGTGCATTTTGGATGATGCGTTTTGCTGATGATAATTTTAAGGCCACGATTCCATGCTTAAAATTTGAAATAACACAAGCCCAAAGGGTCAATTCAGAAAAATACTATTGTTTTTCGAGAGTCGTTGTTTTTTACCGTTTTAGTTTGGTTTCAAGGACACTGTGACTGAACCATATATTGTTTTAGGAAGATTGAAGTTAAACTTCTGATTTGGTGTAAGCACCGCCAAGAGTATAAAACAAATACTTTCAATCAAAGCAGTTTCAACCAACCTTACTTTAAATAAAAATGATACCAAGGAGAGATAATGAATTATATCCTTATAAGCTTTTTAAATATTTAAATTATCTCCCCATAAATTAGTTTTTATCATGTATCGGACGTTGACAAATTACATAACTTACCTAAAATTACATTAACTAATATATAGTTCTCTTTTTTTTGGTGCACATTTTGTTAACTGTTAAATACAGGTAAATGATATTGTTTCTTGATTATTTTTATTTTTTTGGTTCTTTGTACGTATGGTGTTAAAAACTTCGGTGTTCATGACAACATAACATGTGGACATTTACATGAAACTAAAAGGTGTATTGTATCATAGGTTATCAATAGTCTTTTTATACTTCTTGGTATTATTTTATACTTCTTGGTATTATTTTTTTATGATTTGTATATGAAACATGATGTATCAAATTTATACATTTGGGACAATTTTCGTTTCATCAAAATAAGAGAACCACCTCAATGATAAATAGCAATCGGATATGTAATCGATAACATCGAAAGAAAAAAAAACTTTATGGTATATCATCACGCCACACGTGAAAATTCATTTAATGCTAAGTTTTTTCATTTGAAAAACAATTTATTGCTACATATTTTGTTTTATTTTTCTCTTCAGGGGCGAAGGTTCCAACGTTTCTAGACAATTCGATTTGACTGTTTGATATAGAAATATAAGTTGTCAGATTTACATACGATATTTACACTTTGGTGATTTTTATATTATGGCGGACGTACATGTCACAGACAAATGCGATATACTGTTAACTCTTCAAAGATGATCAAATCTAGAAAGATAGGAAATCTAAATTAACTCCCGCTTCATAGATATATATTGTGTTTCCTGGTTTCTGTTTTAAATACCTAACAACAGTTTATGACTTACTCTTGAAATGACTTACTGGACCTCAGTTTTACAATATATATTTGATTGAACTTGTATCACTTCAGACGTTTTAAGCCCTAATCAAACTAATAGCGATGATTTTTTTTTTACTCTTTTAAGTTTTTAAATAGCACTCTAGTAAATTTTTACCTGTAACTGAATAAATCAGAAAAGTTTGATAATTTTGAGTTTTATTACTTCAAATACATTATCTAAATTGAATATATCATTTTTATTACATTTATTTATTTTTTTATGTATATATTTGACAATAATTATATGAAAGAGGTTGTCTTTGGATAATTTGTTCAGGAATTCGCAATGAACAAAAGAGTTTAAGAGGGGGAAAATCATTTCGTTTTGAGTGCGGTAAGCAATAAACCGCTTATCGTATATGCTGTACAATGGACATGACTTTAAAAAGTGAATGATGCACTATTCTGGATTTTTGTCAGACTTCAATTTTAATTCCAATTTACAATTTCGTTGGACGATAACATCGTTCGTACACAGAGAACTGTTCCATCATTGGCTTAAATACATTTCTTTGGAAGGTTTGAACTATCAAAATATCTTATTTTTTTACTTTTGGAAGTACTTATAATCTACCAGATTATGAAAAAATAAAATAAATATATGTCAATTCAAATTAACGATTTGTATATGGATAATGCATATATAATTAATGTTTGTAAGTTTATTCGTTAGTTTGTGTTTAGTCTGTAATTTAAGCCAAAGCTCTTTTATCGACGAATTTCTGCAAATGCGATTTACTAAGTAATGAAAGTAGATATGTAATAAAATTTTATAGATGTTTAATTTATTTATTTGAGTTTCCTATTCACAACATTAACTCTAAAGGTAAAGAGGTGATATGTTGTAACGTCTTGTGAGACAGCACCCAAACAAAGAAAAAAGAACAAGAACTGAACATATAATGGTTATTACAAACAGTAAGTTACATCAATGTGCATAACAGGAGATATGGGATTTATTTTCAAAGAGACAGCAACCGAACAACAAATATCCAAAAGGCATATAAATGGCAACAAACAGTATTCAACAGCAGACAAGTGTCTATACAGACATCTACTTGGCCCGAGTATAGTAAAGATGTGAATAAATTGAACAGAAAGATGAAACTTCTATACCAGCACCCAATTCTTAAAATAACAAAATACATTAAGATATGACAAACGACAAATACATAAAAATTTGGCGGGATACGACTTATTTTTTCAAAATTTCAATCCTCTCCCTTTTTTAGTCTCGATTAGTAGATTAAGAACACGCACATAAAAGAACATACAACGAAAAAAAGTACATGACAAACATTTAATCTAAAATAACGATACAATAGATATTACTTCAGTAGAAATGTATGACATTGGTGAACAATTTAGACAAGACTCTTTTATATCTAATTCATCTGTACAAAACCAATGGACAATTCGGTTCAGAGTTAATATGATACTACCAGTTACAGGGATGGTGTAAATCACACTTCTATAATATTACAAAGACCGGGTATATACAATCTAAGTCTCTCTCATTGTTTTATAATACAAAACATTTGACTTCTGTACCTTTAACACAAATATTCGTAATTCTAAACTAAAAGATTCTTCAAAATTATTCAAACTCTGTTTCAAAGAAACAGAAACAAAAATATACTTTATAAAACAATTTGATTCCTATAAAGTCTCTGAGACTTGCATCATTAAAATGCTTGATTTTTGGATTGACACAACATTTGATACATACTAGTAATACTACAAAAACAAATGATAACAGAACAGCTTGCGTTTCTGGTGAAGTTTTTCTGTGATGTATTTTTTAATTGACAGTCGGCATTCCTATGCGAACCAACTATACTCTCCTTCTCGACGACTTATTCATTGACTGGTATGAGACCGACTTTATACAGGAGCTTCTCAAGACGAATAAAAAGATGTAGGAAATAGTATTGATAAACTTCCTAGATATAAGAAGATGTGGTATGAGTGCCAATGAGACAACTCTCCATCCAAGTCACAATTTATAAAAGTTAACCATTATAGGTCAAAGTGCGGTCTTCAACACGGAGCATTAGCTCACACCGCACAGCAAGCAATAAAGGGCCCCAAAAATTACTAGTGTAAATTCAAACGGAAAAACCAACTAAACTATATAAAAAACGAGAAAAGAGAAACACTTATGAACGACGTTGCGCACGATGTTGGTACTACTTAGCGTTACACGACGTTCCTCATAATGAAGCAATTTCGACGATTTCAAAGAACGTTTCACTAAAGCGTTCAAGCTTATAATTGATGAGGTCAATTTACTGTTGTGAATATGGTAACCGATTTGGGTTTGTCTGAAAATGCATAGTTTTACAAATAAAACTCAAAGTGGTCGTACACATATTTATTTTTTTATGAATATTCATTTATAGGAGTTGTCAGTCTTTCCAGGCCATAATTGATGATTTTACTTTTGGCAGCAGTTCGCATTAATGAATCATACATTAATTTCCAAATTTATACAGATTTCTTTTTAATATAAATTAGATTTTGAACTTATTTTCCCTTTTTATTGCATGTTTATACATACTTCTATTTTCTATGATCTAACTATGCTTATTTAATATACAGCCGGTAAAAACCTCAATTGTAAAGAAAATACAGCGTTTTTTTCGTTGGGACAAGATGGCTATACTTTTTGAAGTCATTGCAATAGAAACTATACGCATGGTTTCGGCAAAAAAATATCATGAACCACGAGAAAAATAAAAAAAAATTTCAAAATATCATGAATATTTTTCCTCTTAGCTTTTCCAATTACACGGTAAAAATGCGCAAACCCGATATATGCTTACCTTGCATATGCTTGGACATTTTTCAGACCGTTTTCAAAAATAACATTTTCCGGTTTACGGTTTCTGTGATATTGATTTTGCTTTAACAAGCAATTAACAATAACAATAGCAATACTCTTGTGAAGTTTTACGATGATCAGAAAAAAAATACCGTAGGAAAGAAACGGAACTCCGATCTTTAGCACACAAAATGTAACGTTGGACATTACGTTTTTGCGTAAAAATGGGATAATTAGGTGTTATAATTCTTGATATTTTAAATTTCGGTTCCTTTTTTTCTTAATTTTCAAGTTCTAATGTAATAATTTCAACCAGAAATCACTATATTTTTATCGAACTGACCAGTCTACGTATTTATTTTCATGCTAATCTATAGCAAAATGGAATTCGTACCAACATCGTGCGCAACGTCGAACCACATTAACAAACGACAAGTACTGAACATCAGATTCCTGACTTAGGCCACGTGCAAACAATTGCAGCGGGTTTAAACGTTTTAACGGTACCAAACCTTCACCCTTATCTGAAACAATAGTGTGACATCACAACATAGAAAGACACACTATAAAATATCAATTGAAATGGCTTAATTCAATCAAAAGACATATTAATTATTAATTTATAGTAATACCAAACACTTATCAAAGCTGGTATATAGACCAGGTATAACCCTGAATAAGTAAACCTTAAATAACAAAAAGAGCATTACAAATAGTATCAACAGGTCAAATTAACAAGAAAATACGATTTGAGAGTACTTGCAGTTACTGACAGCTAGTTTAAGCCAAAAACAATTAATAATAAAAAATTGTGCATCAGAGACTAAAATCAACTAAAACACATCCCAGGGATTTAGTATTTTAACGTCATGGACAGTCAAAGAAGTCATGACTTGTGCAATGCCAAAAATAAATGTATCGACAGGTCGTAGGATAGTTAAGAGTTAACCTCTTAATAGATAAAAATGAACGTGGGTGTGTCTTTATACATCCCGTTTGAAAATAATACAAATTTAGTTATGTTTTAATTTGTTGATGACAAAATCGATATTAGTGCCAATGTAAACTATATCCAAAGATCTAATTACAACATTGGTAAGATAACCTTTACTAATAAGTTTGTTTAAAGTTCATGTTCAGTTATAAAGATGAAGTCCTCACACTGAAAAAAATATAGTTTGATGATGTTGTTGATCGCTCCTATTCTGTAAATCTTGAAATTAAATATATCACAGGCACAGTGAGATCTGCTTCATAGACAATACTACCCTACAAAAGAGATGACTTTCATTTTTCCGTTTTTATTGAAAGATGGTAACTGCTTGCAAGGAAGAAATAAACATTACCGTTGAGAACCATAACATATCTTCCTTGTAAGCAGCAACCAAATCATGATCAGAAATGCAAGAGTTGGTTGCTGTCTGTTATATCTGTGGTTACTGTCCGTTATATCTGTGGTTACTGTCTGTTATATCTGTGGTTGCTGTCTGTTATATCTGTGGTTGCTGTCTGTTATATTTGTGGTTGCTGTCTGGTATATCTGTGGTTGCTGTCTGTTATATATGTGGTTGCTGTCTGTTATATCTGTGGTTGTTATCTGTTATATCTGTGGTTTTTATCTGTTATATCTGTGGTTTCTGTCTGTTATATCTGTGGTTTCTGTCTGATATATCTGTGGTTGCTGTCTGTTATATCTGTGGTTGCTGTCTGTTATATCTGTGGTTGCTGTCTGTTATATCTGTGGTTGCTGTCTGTTATATCTGTGGTTACTGTCTGTTATATATGTGGTTGCTGTCTGTTATATCTGTGGTTGTTATCTGTTATATCTGTGGTTTTTATCTGTTATATCTGTGGTTTCTGTCTTCTATATCTGTGGTTTCTGTCTGATATATCTGTGGTTGCTGTCTGTTATATCTGTGGTTGCTGTCTGTTATATCTGTGGTTGCTGTCTGTTATATCTGTGGTTGCTGTCTGTTATATCTGTGGTTACTGTCTGTTATATCTGTGGTTGTTGTCTGTTATATCTGTGGTTGCTGTCTGTTATATCTGCGGCTGTTATCTGTTATATCTGTGGTTGCTGTCTGTTATATCTGTGGTTGCTGTCTGTTATATCTGTGGTTGCTGTCTGTTATATCTGTTTAGCATTTATTGTTTTGTCATTAATTAGTCCGTTAGTTTTTAAGTTTGAATTGTTTCACATTTTCTCATGTCGATGACTTTTATAGCTGAATATAAGATATGGGTTTTGGTCAGACTTTTGTTAGAAAACTAACGGCCTGATTAATGTACAAAACAACTAACGAAAAACAAATATGACAACTATTACAAAGTTAAAATCACACGAAGAATCAAACAATTTAAGAAATACAAGATCCTAACTGAACTATCTTCAAAAAACCAAATCAAATCATGCAAATTAAAATATCTCGAGCAAAACAATACATATACAAGAAACAGTTGCATAAGGAAAAAAGAAAGAAAATCAAGATCATATGAACTCTCATTCAACTATATACTATTTATATGGGACAAATGATACATAAAGTTTAATCAAGACAAAAATAAAGACTTCAAAAGATAAGTCAACCACAGAGAATTCAACATATAGTACAGGGCATGGGTGTTGTATTTACACGCACTATTCTACAAACCAAGTTAAACAACATAAAACAGAATGTGTATACAACGAACATATACATGGTACAGGGCACAGGTGTTGTATTTCACGCACTATTCTACAAACCAAGTTAAACAACATAACACAGAATGTGTATACAACGAACATATACAGAATTTCATAATAGCTCATAATATTACAGTATAAAGATTTTTATTGTATTCAGGTATATTTTGCACATACATTGCATTATTTATTATTTTACACAACATTGAAACTTGAATATTAATATAATCTAATAAAACATTGGTGACAGCGGTGGGATAAAATAAAATAGAATTAT